TCAAACATGTTAGCAAGGTCATGTGCCACAGCCTTATCCGGGTGGTACCGCTGCACTAGAGTCTGCATGTTTTGCCACTGACCTAAGAGCTCCTTCAGTTTAGTGGTGGACAGCTGTTCCTCCCCAGGCTCTTCCTCTCCCAAAGAGGCCTGCTCCTCCATAGCCTCTGCCTGCAGCTCAACCAGCTCCTGGGTGGACAGCTCCCAGTCATGACCCACCACCAGTTCACAGATGTCCTCCTCTGTGACCTCAAGGCCCATGGCCCTCCCCAAGGCAACAATGTCCTCCATCACTGTTGACTCTGGTGCAGGCGCAGAAACACCAGAGTCACTTGTTGCCATACAGTCTGGCCACAGGTTGCGCCAAGCAGAATTTTCTCCGGCTGATCCTGTTCCAGGCTATGTTGATCAACTTCAAACAGGTGACAATATCAAAGTGGTCCCTCCAGAAATCACACAGGGTCAGGCTGGTAGAACTGTGCTTGAAAAGCTCCTTGGTGTACCTTATAGAATTGGTCACCTCGAAGCAGTGCTTGAAAAGCTCCTTGGTGTACCTTATCTTGAAATTAGCAATCGCCTGCTGATCCATTGGCTGGAGTACCGGGGTGGTGTTAGGTGGAAGAAACATGATTTTAATGAAATTGAACTCCTCCAACAAGTCTTCCTCAAGGCCTGGAGGATGAGCTGGGGCATTGTCCATGAGGAGCAAGGCCTTCAGTGGCAGGTCATTGTCCAGCAGATACTGCTTGACAGCAGGGCCAAAAGCAAGATTGACCGGGTCCACCAAAGACTGTGTGTGACCCAGGCCTTAGCGGTGGATCGCCACAGCACGCTCAGCTGGCCTTTGTCCACCTTGTGCTTCTTAAAAGCCCGTGAATTCTCTGAGTGGTACACCAGCAAGGGCTTCAGGTCCCTGCTGGCGTTGGCACAGAAAAGGAGGGTCAGATGGTCCTTCATGGGCTTGTGGCCAGGCAGCTTGCTCTCCTCTTGAGTGAGGAAGGTCTTTTTGAACATCCTCTTCCAATACAGTCCGGTCTCATCACAGTTTAAGACCTGCTGTGGAAGGTAGCCCTGTGTTGTCACGACCTCCAGGAACTCCGTGGCAAAGTCCTCAGCTACAGGAACATCGGAACTGGCAGCCTCTCCATGCCTGACCATGCTGTGGATCCCAGATCTGGTTTTGAATCTTTTAAACCAGCCTCTGCTTCCCTTGAATTTTTCTAGCTCGGCTGAGGTTCCTGGCTCTTGCTGCACAAGGTCTGCATACAAGGCCTTGGCCTTCTCACAAATGACAGCCTCAGTCACTGTGTCCCCGAACGCTGCTTCTCTTGCATCTAGATGAGGAGCAACTTCTCCACCTCCTCCAGAACAGCTGGCCAGTTCTTCACGATCCTGGTGACTCCCTTGGCTACATCTGTGGCAAGGATCTTCTCCCTCATCTTAAGGATGGTCCCAATGGTCGATGGATTCCTCCCATACTCCCTGGCGATATCTAGGACTCGCATGCCTCCGTCATGCTTCTTGATAATCTCCTTCATCTCAAGTGTAATCTTCTCCTTCATCATCTTCCTGGCCTCTGCAGAAGCAGGCTTCTTGGGACCCATGTCAGTAGCTGCTACATTCACAAAAACAAAAGGCAGTGCTTTACATCCACTTCACCTTCCCACACACCTTCCCATCACTGGCCAAAACTGCCCTGGACAAACAAGTGGCATAACACCCCCCCAGCCCAAGCTAAGGGGAAAAAAACTTGGCATAACCCCCCCCCAGCACAAGCTAAGTCCACCACCTTTCCTGTGCAACATACCAAAAAGTAATTTAAAAAAAAATTGGCATAACACCCCCCCAGCACAAGCTAAGAAAAAAAAAACAGCGATCACAAAAACCATTTGTCTTGCGGGTTTTTCATCCTGCGAGGCAATCGTCTTGTGAGGCACCACTGTACTCAATTTGTTGGGTGGAAGTATTGATTGGTTAACCCACTTCTGAACAGCATTGCTCAAAATATGCTGCAAGTAGGAAAAGTAGTAAGTATTAATGCCTGAAACAATACCAAATGAACCACCTTTGAATAAGCTGTTGAAACATGTCCAGAGCAGATATACCGTATTTCCCCCAAAAGAAGGCATGATATTACGTTTTGCTCCCCCCCCAAAAAAAAACCACATTAGGGTTTATTTTCAGGGGATATTTTTTCATGCACAACAATCTACATTTATTCAAAAACAGTTGTCATCTTCTGGTTGCTGTACAATGGTGGAGGGCGGGTTTCCTTAACTAGGGCTTATTTTTGGGGTATGGCTTATATTATATTAGGGCTTATTTTCAGGTTAGGTCTTATTTTGGGGGAAACAGGGTAACTGCACACTATGTTGCAACTGAGGAGGTCAGTCTTTTTTTAGATTTCCTTGGTAAGGGCCAGTAATCAACCTTTGCAGCCCAGTCCTCCTAAATGTATTCATTTGGATCATTCAATGGAACTTGCCTTCAGGGCAGCTAGTTTAAGATAATTTTCTTGACCCTTGGTTTGTGCTATGGTATAAAGTTGCTTTAATGAACTTGGTGGAATCCCAAGCCAATGACTGCGTGTTAGAAGAGGTATTAGAGAAAATTTGATGGAACATGGTGGCCTTGTGCAAGAGTTTTTTCTTTAAAGCATAATAGATATTGTATTACTGTTGCAATCAAAGGGGGCAGAATAATACTGAAAGAAACCAGCATGCAAATTCTTGTTCCTATTTGAGACTTTCTGTTAATGTGATTGGCTTGATAATTAGTAGCAATGCATGCATTTGTGTTTCTTAAAGCAAATTGTTATGATGTCTGCATGCTTTGTGATTTCAAATACAATCTTCCACGTCTAGGTTTGCATTTATTGTGGGGTCTATGCAGCACCAGAAAAAATACTAAATGAAGCTTGTTCTTTTCAGTTATTCAAAATGGCCAGGTCAGGACGAGGACGTGGTTCCTTAACCTTCAACATTGAAGCTATAGGCTTTGCTCGAGGAGAAGTGCTACCTGAAGCCGTATTCAAGCCGCCTCCACTATATCCAGTAAGTGTATAGCAAAAAGCCAGAATTTGAAACCATACTCTGCCATTTGGATGAAATGTTCATTTCCATGCTTTATCATCCCTATTCAGGCATTCTCAATGTTTGTATGGCGCTTATGCATTGAGGGGAGTATGCCAACTGTACTCCCTCTGTCATTACTTTCCGCACAAAAAAGGTCACTGTCTGAAAAGGATGAGGCTGGGATATCCATGTAGGCTCTCCATATGAGACAGAACCTTTGTTCATGTTCTGGGCTCAAGAGGAGAGTCTACACCATTGCATCAGGCTCCTTTTCTTCAGACTGACACTTTTACGGGTGGAATGCTGCCTTATTGTATGTCCTCTGTGGTCTGTACATTTTGAGAATGCCTGCAGAAGAACCAATGAACAGATATCAAGAGTTGGGTTTTTTGGGCTCTTTGGCCGTGTTCTGAATATTTTTCTTCCTAACTTTTCGCCAGTCTCTGTGGCTGGCATCTTCAGAGGACAGCAACCTGTGCTCTGGTTGCTGTCCTCTGAAGATGCCGGCCACAGAGACTGGCGAAACATCAGGAAGAACAACTTTCGGAACACGGCCAAAGAGCCCGAAAAATCCACAACAACCATTAGATCCCAGCTGTGAAAGCCTTCGCGAATAGATATCAAGAGCATAGTGCATCACAGTTAATACTGGAAAATAATTGGCCAGATCTACAGGGAGCAAGTCTGCAGAGGTGGTGATAAAGGATGCATTAGAGAACTTAAAGCAAATCAGCACAAAATTTAGGTGCAGTCCTAAATGGACAAAATGGCCAAGGTCCAACTGAACCAACACAACATGAGGTGCATCCTGTCCCCTCCCAGCCTACAACTGTGGATTCTTAGAACTACTCTTGCTGTGACCTAACATTATATTGCCTTTGCGTTTTTCTCCCTTGACTAGAAGAGGTTTGGATCTGGTATAATAGAGTTCCTCCCCTACCTCTCTGCCACTTTCTTTTTGTCTCTTCTGCTGGCAGGTCTTACTTGTCAAGAGAACAATGCTTTTGGCAGATCTCTGTCAGAATGAATAATTACTTCTTTAAAAGCAAGTTTCCGAAGTTTGGATCTGTATAGCATATAGAAGTGTGTTGATGGGCTGGACAAGTATTTGGTGCTTCAGAGCCCTGCCTCCTCTGGCGGGTGCCCACTCACAATGGCTTCCCTGCCCCATCTTCTCCAAGCACCGTCTCTGAATGGGTGCCCACCAGAGGAGTCAGGGCTTTGAAGTGCCAAACTCCAGTTTGGCCAATAAATGAACTGGCATCAACCATTGAACTGGGTGTTCATGCCCATCTCTACTGGAGTCCCAAAAAGTAACTTTTTCAAGCTTTGGTTTTTAGCATAGTTTGGAAAGATGGAAGGTCACTCTGTCACATCTGGCTTTAAAATCAATTTCTTCTGTAAGAGAGTAGTTAATTGTAGCATTTGCTTCTGCCACAAATTTTGGGTAGAAATGTCTAACCACTTGTGGAACTTGTTTCAAGAATTTGATGTCCTTGTAGAGGGATGGGGAACCACCAGCCAAATTTGAGTACTGCAGTGCAAGTGTGTCAAGGACAATTGCAGCTTCAGTTCTCATTTCCTTTTAAAGACAATACTTTTTCTGGAACCACCCTGTCTCTTTTACGCCCGGGTCTGGTTTTTTTCTTTAGTTTTGTACTGATTCCACTCTCAGTTGCTGTTGCAGTGGCGTAGGAGAGACAAGGCTCACAGGGTTGAAGTCCTAGGACTTTTTGAGTATCAAGGATTATGATAGCATCCACCGTTCCCCTTAGACTTTGATGAAATCCTCGCATCACCTGAAAGAAAATGGATTTTCCAGAGAGCATTACCATATTTGCCAGCGTACAAGACGACTGGGCGTATAAGACAACCCCCAGCATTTCTACTCAAAATATAGAGTGGACGAGGAGGGCGAGGAGGGGAAGCGGCTGGGCGGGTGGCCGCAGCGGAGGAGGAGGAGGGGAAGGGGAAGCACCTCTCCGGCGGTGAGCAGGCAGCTGGCTCAGCGGCGAGAAGGAGGGGAAGTGGCCAGGTGGGCGGCGGAGGAGGAGGGGAAGCGGCTATCCGGCGGCGGGCGGGCAAGCAGGCAGCTGGCTCAGCGGCGTGGGGTGGCGGGCAGACCAGCAGTGGGATCTGGCCGTTCAGGCATGGCCGGCTCTGCTTCCTTCCCTCCGTCCGGACCGACTGCCTGCCTGCCCACCTGCCTTCCTCCCCTGCCGGTGCGGCCCCGCGTCACTCACTCAACGGTGGTGGCGGCTCCTTCCTGACCCAACTGAAGTGTACTCGGAGTATAAGACGACCCCCCTCCCCACTTGGAGGCATGTTTTTGGGGCCAAAAAAGTTGTCTTATACACGGGCAAATACGGTATATTGTTGCAGTCTATCTATGCTGCAATGCAAAGCGTTTGTGGCTGATTGCATCACAAGTGGGCAGTTAGCAGCCATCAATTTTTTCAGATATGTTCCTAATTTGTAGCTATGAACCAGTCTTGCTTATTGGAATGTCTTCTAATGGGGGGCTGGTATGAGGTTGTCACGATGAGTACCTGCATGTCCAAATTTACCACTGGGTTGCTGCCATTAGTGGATGAAAAGTCTTATATCCCAACCCTCAAATTTGTCAAACCTAGAGAGCAAGTGGGATGCCCAGCTACTGATTTCATTCACCACTCTTGCTCCTTGGGCATGGTGGTGACTAGAGATGGGCACAAATTCACAGTTTGTGCTGGTTCGGCTGATGGCCACAGCTGATTGCACTTCGGTGCTCTGCCCCCTCCACCAGGTGCCCACTCAGATGAAATGCCCTGGCTTCCCTGCCCTGCCTCTTCCTGGTGCTGCCTCTGAGTGGGCATCTGCTGGAGGGGGGTGAGACACCGAATCAGCTGTGCGGCTGTCATGCCCACCTCTAATCAAAACCATACCTAGTGAGCAAGAGTGGGGGATGCTACCAGTAGCTGGGCCTCCCACTTGCTCTCTAAGTGGGTTTGCTTTGCTTCTTTTGTGAGAAGAAAGGGAGGCATTTTACTTTCCTCGCCTTTTTAAAAAAAAAAAAACTGTTGTTAAGCAAATTAACCCACTCAGTCAACTTTTTACTTTTGTAGATGACAGATTTCAAAGCAATGCCTGTGAAAACTGGAGAGAGTGAAGATTATCTTTTGGCTTTAAAACAAGAGCTGACCTTCCTCCCCTGCCGGCGCGGCCCCGCATCACTCACTCAACGGTGGCGGCGGCGGCTCCTTCCTGGCCCAACTGAAGTGTACCCCGAGTATAAGACACCCCCCCACTTGGAGGCATGTTTTTGGGGCCAAAAAAGTTGTCTTATACACGGGCAAATACGATATATTGTTGCAGTCTATCCATGCTGTAATGCAAAGCGTTTGTGACTGATTGCATCACAAATGGGCAGTTAGCAGACATTAATTTTTTCAGGTTTGTTCCTAATTTGTAGCTATGAACCAGTCTTGCTTATTGGAATGTCTTCTAACGAGGGGCTGGTATGAGGTTGTCACGATGAGAACCTGCATGTCCAAATTTACCACTGGGTTGCTGCCATTAGTGGATGAAAAGTCCTATATCCCAACCCTCAAATTTGTCAAACCTAGAGAGCAAGTGGGATGCCCAGCTACTGATTTCATTCACCACTCTTGCTCCTTGGGCATGGTGGTGACTAGAGATGGGCACAAATTCACAGTTTGTGCTGGTTCGGCTGATGGCCACAGCTGATTGCACTTCGGTGCTCTGCCCCCTCCACCAGGTGCCCACTCAGATGAAATGCCCTGGCTTCCCTGCCCTGCCTCTTCCTGGTGCTGCCTCTGAGTGGGCATCTGCTGGAGGAGGGTGAGACACCGAATCAGCTGTGTGGCTGTCATGCCCACCTCTAATCAAAACCATGCCTAGTGAGCAAGAGTGGTGGATGCTACCAGTAGCTGGGCCTCCCACTTGCTCTCTAAGTGGGTTTGCTTTGCTTCTTTTGTGAAAAGAAAGGGAGGCATTTTGCTTTCCTCGCCTTTTTTTTTTTAAAAAAAAAACTGTTGTTAAGCAAATTAACCCACTCAGTCAACTTTTTACTTTTGTAGATGACAGATTTCAAAGCAATGCCTGTGAAAACTGGAGAGAGTGAAGATTATCTTTTGGCTTTAAAACAAGAGCTGAGAGGAGCAATGCAAAGGACACCTTATTTCATGTCCAAAAGGGATGAATATCAAGGTGAGAGTGTCACATTGTTTTATTCCACAAAGTCCTGCATATATAAAGTGTTCAATATACAGTGGTGCCTCGCTTAACGGGTGCCCCGTTTAGCGAAGAATCCACATAGCGATGAAGATTTAGGGGTTATATTATAGTGTAATATAATGCCGCGCAACTGAGAAAATCGGTAAACTTTTTTTTTTTGGAGCAACAGTCATAGATGTTGGGCTAGCCTAGAAATTAAACTAGTTGATCTTGAGAACCTGCATTACAACATCAGATTAATGCAGGATGATTATAATGATTATTTAAGAATAAGATAGAGCTCTCCCTAAACTAGCACCCTGTTGATGCAGTTAGCATGGTCAGAAATGTTGGAATGTTGTCTAAACCAGGGTTCCCCAAACCCCTGTCTGCAGCCCGCTGCCAGTCTGTGGCCTTGGCTGGACCAGGCCATGGAGACAGATCTTCCACCCCCCCGCGCCACCCTTTGCGCAATCACGCAAGTGTGTGCACGCACCCTGGAGCGCCATTTGTGCAATTTTGTGAGTGTGCGCACGCGAGCACCCTGCCCCTTCACATGTGTGCGTGAGCACCCTGCCCCTTCGCGTAGCCCCATCGCACATGTGCATGAGTGCAGGGGTTGCCCCACCCACACATGGACCCTGTCCCCACCACCAACTGGTCCGCGGTATAAAAAAGATTGGGGACCACTCTAAACCATCTGGAGAATGTCAGGTTGGGGAAGGTTTAGACTTGCAGGAGTTGAAGGCTAGCTTATTATGTGGTATTTTAATGACCAAGGTATCATCCACCCTTGTCTTTGGATTATGCAGAAGACTTTTTTATATACAGTAGGACCAGTATGCACTGATTCACTTATCCATGTTCTGAAAATACTGAAACATTAAAAGAAAAATCCCCCATATATATTGAATTGTAGCATCCCTAATAGGATTTTATATATATGGGGGATTTTTCTTTTAATGTTTCAGTATTTTCTATATATATATTTAAGTTTAATTAAAATAGAATTCCACATTTTTCAGCATCCACAGGGCGACTTGAAACCAATGCCCTGTTGATATGGGTCTTACTGTACTAAACATGGTGTTTAGAACAGAGCTGAAAATATTTCATTTTAAAATGGAGGCACTCTGTATTGGCTTTTGACAACAGCATGGCCATGGTGAGATTGTGCAAAAAGCTCTGATTCCAGTGCATCCTTTCTCTCACACTTGAAATTATATGATTATTCGTATGTTGTAAGAATGAAGGAGGTGGAAGGAAAATACCTTCAAAATACTTTCTTGCCCCAAGAGGCATTGGACTGTGAGTGCATGCCATATTCTGTCCTAAAGTTACTAGGCATACCGCAGCCCTTTTGTTAGTATGTGCTCTGACACATGCGTTTGCCCTTTGATTTACTGTATAATTTTTAACCTCTCTTATGATTTTATTTGTTTCATTGTCTTTGTCTGCAATCAGTAAGTCAACATACCTATCAGATTATCCTCACAAAACCAATGATTTGCTTGAGAGCCTTGTAGCAAACAAATGGACAAATGTTTGCCGTCAATAATATGGAAACTTGTCTTTGTAAAAGGAATCTCTTCAATGATTTTAGAGATTTGGTTTGTCTCTAGGTTTTGTACCTGTTGAAAGGTACAGCAAAAAATATTTGAAGATAAGTGAAGAGGACCAACAGTGGACTCCAGGTAAGGGAACAAACATCCTAGGTAGGACTGGCCATACCATTAGGGAGAGTGAGATAGGCAGCTGAGGGCACAGCAGCCTGGCAGTGGCATTCTCCTCTGGCCAGGCCTCTTGAGCCCCATGCTATTTCCCTCTGTTTGGTGACGTAGGTGCCCTGTGACTTCCTATCCTCATGTGCACTGGGGAACACTAACTAATTATCAGTGTTCCCCAGTGTTAAAAGAAATCTCAACTCTTTCTGTTGATGGCATAATGGGGAGCGCACTGCTTGCATCTCTGGTGGCAAAGTACCATGTGATAGTCATGGTTCCATTTGTGTGGTTTTTCATAGAATTGTTATTTAGATCCCATTTCAATAGGAGTGAAGTTATATGGCTCCTCGTGATGCTATTTAACATCATACAAAATTATATCTGAGTAGGCTTACATTTACTTAATGCTACTTGCACTTATACTCCATTCAGTTCCTGCTCTAAACATAATCTTGTAAAATAGAGAGTCCATTCATAACTTGTGTGTCAGCTGTAGAGGGTTAGGAATAGGCAAAGGCCTCTTATGTGGGCAGTATGCCAGTAGAAATACAGTGGTGCCTCGCTTTACGATTGCCCCGCATTACAACGAACCCGCTTAATGGTGATCTTTTTGCGATTGCAATTGCAATCGCAAAACGATGGTCTGAATGGGGGAATTTCGCTTTGCGATGATCTGTTCCCTGCTTTGGGAACCGATTCTTCGCAAAATGACGTTTTTTAACAGCTGATCGGCGGTTTCAGAATGGCTGCTGGGTGATTAAAATGGCTCCCCACTGTGTTTAGGGACGGATTCTTCGCTATACAGGCAGCGAAAATGGCCGCTGTATGGAGGATCTTCGCTGGACTGTGAGTTTTTACCCCATTGGAACGCATTGAATGGGTTTCGATGCGTTTCAATGGGGTTTTTATTTTCGCTTTACAATGTTTTTGCTTAACAGCGATTTTCCTGGAACGGATCATCATCATTAAGCGAGGCACCACTGTACCCTTCTTTCAGCAGATCTGGTTGGTTTGCTTGATTGACTTAATGGGAGGCACTAGCTTCTTCTTCGCCTCCAACAGCAAAATGTCTTGTGCCAGTCCTAGTAATGATTCCTTGCATCAGTTGGTTGGACCTCATAAGTTAATTGCATGATTATTCCAGCTGTACTAGCCATTGATTTCAACAGGATTATTTTACAGTAATGCTAAGATTTGTGTGAAGAATCAGGCCTTGTTAATGCAGTAGACAAAAGACTTTTGGATATGGTTTCAGTTCCTGTTCGTTAAAAATTCCTTTGACAAAATATTATCTGTATTTTAATATATTTTTATGAAGACTGGAGAAGATTCCCAAGAGAACTGAAACCAAAGAAAATAATTAAAAAAGGTAACATTCATTTAGCATGCCTATAAAACACTAATACCTGTTTCTTGAGAGTGAGAATAATTTTTCTTAGTGGGGCTTTGATCAAGTTTTAATGAGAGAGTGGCAAAAGACTAGGGCAATTTTTAAAAATATATATTTCTCAAACTCTTTTTATGTTTCTTTTAAATAGAATTTTAAAACCTTGAAGTTGGTTTTGTAGATGTTCGGTGGTTTTAAAATCACTTCTTTGATTATACTAATCTTGGGAGAAGAAGTGAATAAAACATTGCTGTAAGCTTTTATAGCATTTTTATCAAAGCATTACATATTATCAAAACACAAATGCACACAAATGTTGAGTCAGGCAAATCTACTAGAATGACAGTAGGTACAGGGTTTCTGATTGATGCATCTAACTTCTGGGATGTCCATCTAATTAGTTCATTCTTATGGTACTCTACTCTTCCTGCTTCATTATTTTCCAAATGAAGACAATGTCACTTACACAGTGAGTAAAAGATGCTATAGATATGTTTGAATTTTGAAGAATATAGTATTAAGAACGTTGTGGATTTTTTTTTTTACTTCAGTAGGTGGAAAAGCAAAAAAACCCAAACCTGATGCTTCAAAAACTAATGTGGATGTGTTGAAAAAGATAGAGGTAAGGTCTCTTCTACCCACTGCATTTCCCCCTACCCTAGTTTTCATTATGCAGTAATTGTCTTTGTTGAGAGTATGGAAATGGAAAATGGAAATGTTAAAAAAAGCAATTGCCACAAACCTCTTTTGAAAAAGAAATGACAAAAGGACTTCACAGCGTTACTGAGTAATTTGGGTTAGTTATGTATGACAGAGCTGACTTGTAGGAATCCTAATAGGGTTTTCAAGGTGAAATATTTAAGAAGTGGTTTTACCAGTTGCACTCCACCAGTTGAGTTTCCACGACCATGATCTTCAAGAGTCCTAGTCCGTGACTCTGTCTACTACATCACACTGGGTACAATCTGTGTTACTTTCACTTAACTGCAAGTAGCTTGTTGGACTAGACTAGCAATGGCAAATCTATGATAGCTGGCACACAGTGCCCTCTCTGTGGGCACACGAGCCATAAATCGCCATTGAGAAATACTTACCCATCCTCTAATCCCAGATTTCGGGACTCCCCTCTGCTGGTGCAGTGTTCTAGCGAAGGGGTACAATGGCAGCCATTAGTGGTCTAACCCGATGGGGGTTTGGAGGACAGGTAAGAATTTCTCTGTTAATACTGCCCCTAGGAAGAAAAAACCCTTTAACCCTTGCAGTGCTTGGGCAGGTTTTTTTCCCCTAAACTAAAACATCAGCATTCAGGTTTAATTGTAGTGTTGGCACTTTGAAATAAGTTGGTTTTGTGTTGCAGTTTGGGCATTCGAGCTCAAAAAGGTTCGCCATCACTGGACTAGACTGTTGGTGACTTGTTGCCATGTTTTCTATGAGGATGGCAGTGTCTCATAAAAGGCAGCTAACATGTACCATGTATGGGAATTTTGAAAGGAGAATGATTTTAATTTGAAACAGTATGGTTAATGTAGGGATAGTTATTGGTATGTTTAAAAAGTAGCTAAAGGCTTAAATCTCTTTTGGGGTTCAAATAAGCTGTTAAAGGGATAAATGCTAAACATCTCTTTTTCTTAACTTGATGGTGAGTTTCCTATTTTCCAGTGTTTATGTGGAATTCATATTTTTCTGATTTGTTACTAATGGTCAAATCATTGTTATTTCCTCACTGAAAAATAACTAGCATTCCATTTTATATAGTAAGATCAAATTAAGTATCTGTGATGTTCAAGGATGGGGTCACACAGCTTGTTTTCCCCAGCAATTCTTTTAATCACTTTATTTGGTCAGTTCAAGGATGAGGGAAGTATGGCCCTTTAGGTGGACTCAGCTATCCTCAACGTGGTCTGAGCTGGCTAGAACTTCTGGGAGTTGTAGTCCAAAAAAGTCTTGAAAGCTGTACTTTACCTCTCCTGTAGTTTACAGTGGTGCCCCACTTGACGACGATAATCCGTTCCAGCAAAATCGCTGTAGAGCGAAATCGTCATCAAGCAAAAGTTAAAAAACCCATTAGAATGCATTAAAAACTGGTTAATGCATTCTAATGGGGGAAATACGTCATTGTCCAGCGAAGATCCTCCCTAGGGCAACCATTTTCCGGTGTCTGTAAAGCGAGGAATCCATCCTAAACACAGCGGGGAGCCGTTTTGCGACCCACCAATAAGCTATTTTAAAACCATTGTTAAGAGAAAAATCGGTTCCCGAAGCAGGGAACCGATCGTTAAGCGAAAAAACTCCTTTGAATCATTGTTGTGCGATGGCAATAGCGATCACAAAAAACTCATCGTAAAGCGGATTTGTCGTGGAGTGGAGTAATCATCAAGCGGGGCACCACTGTATTTGTAAAACACTTATCCTCCCCAGCTGGAAGTTCAAATGATCTAGTAGATGTGTGAATTTTTTTACAGGAGTTAGAAAAGAGAGGAGGTGATGAAAAGTCAGATGAGGAAGAAACTGAAAAAGAAAAGAACAAGAAGGAGGAAGAGGAGGAGGACGCTGAAGAACCAGAGGAGTATGATGAAGAGGAGCATGAAGAGGTATCATTAGTCTTGTTGCTGTTAAAGTATATCACAGAAGTGAGTACACCCCCTCACATTTCATAAATATTTTAGTATATATTTTCATGTGACAACACTGAAGAAAGGACACATGGCTACAATGTAAAGCAGTGAGTATACAGCTCGTATAACAGTGTAAATGTGCTGTCCCCTCAAAATAATGCAACACACAGCCATTCATGTCTAAACTGCTGGCAACTAAGTGACAATGTCCAAATCGGGCCCAATTAGCCGTTTTCCCTCCCTGGGGTCATGAGACCCGTTAGTGTCACAAGTCTCGGGTGTGAAGGGGGAGCAGGAGTTATCACTCTCCCTCTTTCAGACTGGTCACTGGAAGTTCTACATGGCACCTCATGGTAATGAACTATCAGGATCTGTAAAAACGAATTGTTCCTCTACAGAAAGATGGCCTAGGCTATAAGAAGATTGCCAAAAATCTGAAACTGAGCTGCAGCACAGTGGCCAACACCACACAGCGGTTTAAAAGGACAGGTTCCACTCAGAACAGGCCTTGCCATGGTTGACCAAAGAAACTGAGTGCCCGTGCTCATCATCATATCCAGAGGTTGGCTTTGGGAAATAGATATATGAGTGCTGCCAACGTTGCTGCAGAGGTTGAAGGGGTGGGGTGGGGGTCAGCCTGTCAGTGCTCAGACCATATGCCACACATTGCAGCAAATTGGTCTCCAGGGCTGTCGTCCCATAACAAAGCGTCTTCTAAAGATGATGCACAAGAAAGCCCGCATACAGTTTGCTGCAAATAAGCAGACTAAGGACATGGATTTCTGGAACCATGTCCTGTGGTCTGATGAGACCAAGATAAACTTATTTTGTTCAGATGGTATCAAGCGTGTGTCGCGGCAACCAGATGAGGAGTACAAAGACAAATGTGTCATGCCTACAGTCAAGCATGGTGGTGGGAGTGTCATGGTCTGGGGCTGCATGAGTGCTACCAGCACTGGGGAGCTACAGTTCATTGAGGCAACCACGAATGCTAACTGGTACTGTGACATACTGAAGCAGAGCATGATTCCCTCCTTTTGGAGACTGGGCTGCAGGGCAGTATTCCAACAGGAAACGACCCCAAACACACCTCCAAAACAACCACTGCCTTGCTAAAGAAGCTGAGGGTAAAAGTGATGAACTGGCCAAGCATGTCTCCAGACCTAAACCCTATTGAGCATTTGTGGGGCATCCTGAAATGGAAGGTGGAAGTGCGCAAAGTCTCTAACATCCATCAGCTCTGTGATGTCGTCGTAGAGGAGTAGAAGAGGACTCCAGTGGCAACCTGTGGTGAACTCTGTGCCCAATAGCGTTAAGGCAGTGCTGGAAAACAAGGGTGGCCACACAAAATATTGACACTTTGTGCCCAATTTGGACATTGTCACTTAGGAGTGCAGTCACTTTTGTTACCAGTGGTCTCAACATTAATGGCTATGTGTTGCATTTTTTTGAGGGAACAGCACATTTACAGTTACACAAGCTGTATACTCACTGCTTTACATTGTAGCCAAGAATCATTTCTTCAGTGTTGTCACATGAAAAGATACCATATTTTTCGCTCCATAAGATGCACCTTTTTCCCCAAAAAAGTTGGGGGAAAAGTGTATGCGTCTTATGGAGCAAAATCGCCGCCTTCAGGGACTCTTTTAAGGCTTGGGAAGGTTCAGAAGAGTCCCTGAGGTGGCGATTTCGCTCCCTCTGGCCCCGCGGGTGAGGCTGGGCGAGCCTCCAAAGGGTCCTAGGGTGTGTTCCAGGACCCTTTGGAGGCTCACCCTGCCCCCCTCCCCCGCGGGACCAGAGAGAGCGAAATCGCCACCTTCAGGGACTCTTCTGAAGCTTCCCAAGGCTCAAGAGTCCCAGAATGTGATTTTGCCCCCTCTGGCTCTGCAGGGGGGCATGAAAAAAATAATCTGGGAATTTCGCCCTGCTGGGCCAGCGGGGGTGAGGGTGGGGGAAGTCTCCAAAGGGTCCGAGAGGGCCTTCCAGGACCCTTCAGAAGGGTCTTCAGAAGGACACCTCTGAAGGGTCCTGGAAGGTACTCTCTGACTCTTTGGAGGATTCCCCCACCCTCACCCCCACTGGCCCAGCAGGCCAAAATTCCCAGATTATTTTTTTCCTGTTTTCTTCTCCTAAAATTTTGGTGAGTCTTATGGAGCGAAAAATACTGTATACTAACATATTTATGAAATGTGAGGGAGTGTACTCATTTCTGTGATATACTAGCCCTAGAAAGGTCTTGCAATTTAAGACCATTACTCCCTTTAGACAACCTTTCTCATATCCAGTTATGGGTTGGCTTATCAAACACTATTTTACAGACCACTGTGGTCAGATGGTGATAATGTCTCCTGACATGGCACATGAGTGGAGCAGGTACAAGAAACCATTCAGGAATTTCTACATGATTCATCTGTCTTCCATACTTTTTAATCATAAGAGGGCCACAATGCTGTGTACCTTAATTTTCCAAACAGCTCCCTTTTTTGCCCCCTTTATTTTCTGTTATTGCTTATATTCAGCAGTAACATGCTCTATAAAGTTCTTTTTAATGTCATATCTGAAAATGCTGCATGGCCATGCACCTCCTAAAAGTAACTGAATTTAAATCATTGCACTTAGACTAGCAAAATGTATTTAGAATTGGAATGTTTGACTGAAGAATGCTATAATTGTGGCTTAATGCTAATGAATCTTAGATCTGTGCACATTTTCAAAATGTTCTTAGAGATGAGTATTTTTTTAATGGAGTGCAGAATCATTCAGTGGATAGAAGTAAATAGTGCAGTAGTTTGCATTTGTAATTGGCTTGCATCCCACCTTATGCAGAAAACATCTTTAAAAATTAAACACTGTTACTGCTGTGCTGTTTTCTTTATGTTTTGTCTCAATGTGCTCTCAAACTGTCTTGGTTTCTCAAAAGAACATCTTTAAAAATGCCACTTTTCAAATGCAAAATGTTATTTCATGCAGGTGGAAAAATGTATAGTACATAAGATGAGCCCTGTTGGATCAGACCGGAGTTCTATGTGGTCACACTTGTATTCAAAGTTCAGGAAAAATCAGGATAAGATCACATGGTTGTATTGTATTCACAGAGCCCTACAGGAGCCCTTAGCCTAAAAGACGCCCATCGACAGGATGTGAATGCAGCTGTACTTTCCTTCTCCCATTCTATGGCAACCGATGTATCAAAGCATAGAAGAGTATTGTGATATATTCAGATGCCATAGTAGTGTGGATATAGGCAGCATCCTGGATTTTTCCCCCCATAGTCAGAGAAAAAAGTAAGAAGAATAGTCATGTCATAACTATGGACGTAGCCAACTAATTCTTTGGGGTGTTATGCAATTAGGCCCTTCCTTTCATTGTGTCATTGAGGAAACAAGGATTTACAGTTACTTTCCTTAGATGCAATACTTATCAGTGTTTAACTTTGCCAGTTACTTTCCTGGTCTTGCACTGCAATTTGTCTTCAACTGTGAGCACTGGATTCTCTTTCTATGCTAATTGTGATTTACAGTAATCTAGGCCAAAATGTTTTTCTCTAGGAGAACGACTACATTGCTTCATATTTTGAAGATGGTGATGACTATGGAGCCAACAGTGATGATAACATGGATGAAGCAACTTACTGAAACCAAGATTGTTTCAACAAGTAGAAGATACCATCTGGAAGATACCTGAATACATATTTTGATTCTGTATTATGAAAGAAAATAGGCTCAGAAGATTAGCGAAGACTATTCCTTCTCATCAACATGAGAGTTTGGCAGCCTAGTATTCAAAAGTGGTTTGGGTGGCCAGTACCAGCAGATGGGATAGAGGATTTTGTTGGCACACAAAGACCTTCAGATATCTCCTACGCACCATACCTTGCTTCTTTGAACTAACTTAATAGAAATATTTTGCACCCACTAAAATATCATTGGGTTGATCACTGCAGGGCTCCATGTTACTTTGCACTGTATATGCAGTTATGTTGGTGAGCTATAGGAAATGTAGATAGGTAAGAACAAAAGTTACACTTGAAACAAGCCATGTATTGAACAAGGACTGGTGCGGCAGCATGGCAGGGTGGACAACCTCTAGAATACATGCCCTTCCATAGCAGCATGAGACCGCTTATTCCCATTCTGACTCCTACTGGCATCAGAGCCAGTGGAGAGGTCTCCCTTCCCAATCCTATTTTCAGCCTAGGGAGCATTTCATTTTATCCATTCATACACTTTCCTCCTATGAGCTCAAGGTGCCACATGTGGTTCTCATGCTCCCCTCTATCTTCAGAACTTTGTGAGGTAGATAGGCTGAGAAGTTCTGATTCACCCAAAATCAGTTGGTGAACATCATGGCTGGCTAGGGAGTTGCATCTTGAATTATAGTCCAACACTTTAGCCCAGGGGTCTCAAACATGCGGCCCGCTGGATGATAGTTTGTGGCCCCCGGCTTGCCTGTCCCCCCCAAAGTGCCCACGTGTCCTCTGCTGTCACCCTCCCCTTGCTCGCCCCCTCTCCCCCAAGACAGCCCCTCTTGCCCCCTCCATCCAGAACTGCAGCCAGCCTGCCGGCTGGCAGGCTGCAATTCCAGATGGAGGGTGCAAGTGGCACTGTCTTGAGGGAGAGCTGGTGAGGCACACTGCCGGCCCTTTTCCCTGAGTGCCCGAGTCGCCACTGAGCGATGCCTGAGAGAGGAGCTCGCTCCAAACCCATCCTCGAAGAGCACCTCCAACAGTGCCACCAATAGCAGCCGCCGCCACCACCTCTTCCAGCGAAGCGGCTCTCTGGTTCTCTTTCTCTCTCAGCATCCCCCAGCACCACCAAAGCGGCCAGTGGCCGCTTCAACACCCAGCAGTGCTTCCTCCTCCTCCTCCTCGTGCTTCAGCCGCCTCGGCTCTGGAGGCTGCCTGGGCTCGTCTCACAAAGTTTGTTCCTCTGTCATGGTGGTGGGTAGCTGCTGCTGCTGAGTGCGCCTTTTTTTGAGGGGGGCCTTCAGAGGAAGGTTGCCGGACCTCCGTGTGTACGTGTGTGTGCGCATGCGTGCGCGCACACACACACACACCTGTAGGGGCCCCACCCTGTTCTGTTTAATTTCACAGGTACCAATGGGGGCTTTTATGCTTTGGCAAAGCGATTCTGTGTGCGGGTTTTTTTTAAATTTTATGTCGTCCCCCCCTCCCCCGGCTAGGTGGTTGCTGGCACGCCCTCCCTTCTCCGCTTCTTTGTCCTGCTGGTGCTGCTGCTGGTGGTGGTAGTAAAGAAGGAGCCGGAAGGGGTTGTGGCCGGCGACGAGGGCTCGCGCGCTCCTCCTCTTCTTCTTCCTTGGAGCCCCAGCCAGGCTAAGGAAACTCCTGGGCAGCTTCCTTGGGCTCTTGCTCCACTTGGCAGAAAATCTGATGTGGCCCAGCCTCACCCAGGCTCTGCCTCCAACAGCCCCCAGGGAAATTGAGTTTGAGACCCCTGCTTTAGCCATTATATACCACAGCTCTCTAGACTGGTGGGCAGAGAACAAAAAACAAACCCCTTTCCACTAGAGTAATTTAATGACAGGTAACTTTATTTTCAGGGCGGGTGGAGTGCTATATTTTTTAAAATGTTTAACTTATTTTGTTTTTTATCTAGATCTTGCACTATGATTGCTACTTAATTCAGTGGCCAAAATCATGTTGCTTAGTGTGATAAATTGCACTAGAGTGGATATTTTCTTAGGGGGGATTTCGTGAGTCGGCTTCTCCATAGGTTCCACTGATTCAAGTGGGCCTGCTCTAACTGGGACTTAATATGCTAAAGTAAGTCAAAGTAGGCCTATTTGAATCAATGGAACTTGGAGAAACTGACTCAACAAATCCCTATTAATTCAGTGGACCTACTCTGTTGTGGTTTACTGTGCAACAGGATTTTAGCAAATATGTAATAAAGATAACAGAATAAACTATTTCCTGAATTTCCAGTTCAATTAGCAGATATTACATCAGAACACAGATTGGCAAGACTAATTGAATTCATGTTCAATACAAATCTATCCCAAACTTGAGGACATACAGTACTTTGAGGGTTCAGGATCATCACTAGTAAAGTTTTGAAGGATTAGATTATGGTTTACACAAGCCTTCCACAGCCTTACCCAGACTAATTCTGTTGGTGATCACTTATTCTGTTAATTCTGGAATAACTATCTTTGTTTTGCCACCATTTATTATACCTTTGTATTTTCTGTATTAGTTACTTTATATTTAGAGATTTGGGTTTTTTACCTGGTATTTTATTAGATTATTACTGTAAGGTACGTAAAAGTAAAAGGTAAAGGTTCCCCTTGACATTTAGTCCAGTCGTGTTCAACTCTAGGGCACGGTGCTCATCCCCGTCTCCAAGCCGTAGAGCCAGCATTTGTCCGTTGACAGTTTCAGTGGCCATGTAGCCAAGGTGACTAGACACGGAAAGCCATTACCTTCCCACCATAGTGGTACCTATTTATCTACTCGCATTTACATGCTTTTGAACTGCTAGGTTGGCAGGAGCTGGGACA